TTATGAGTCTATCTTGTGGTGACAGGTCTAGTCTTCCAGAGGAGTGAAACTGTCATGGAGGATCATGATTATGAAGAATGAGGTAATCTTGCAGGTTGCTTGGACCAATTATATAAAGGATTTTGAAGATTAGAACAAAACTCTTGAACTTCACTGTATTTGATGATAAGTGGTGCACTAGGGCAGTGGTTCTCAAACTATTGTACTGGTGACCCCTTTCACATAGCAAGCCTCTCAGTGTCACCCCCGTTATAAATTAAAAACACTTTTTTATATATTTAACACCATTATAAAATGCTGGAGGCAAAGCGTGGTTTGGGGTGGAAGCTGGCAGCTCGCCGCCCGCCATGTAATAACGTCCCAAACCCCAGTTTTAGAACCCCTGCACTAGGGCAATGTATTTTTGGTTGTCTGTGTTAGAGATAAAAGGGCTATCTGGAAATTTTCCACTGGAACTATTTTTCAACAGGAAATGCCCTTTTCGTAAAATCAAAATTTGATGCAGGAAAATTTCAATTTTCATTTTTCATCCAGAATATTGCTGGCAATTTTAAAATCAAGATTGGAATTTTTTAAATAAAAAGATATGCTCTAGTTCAAACAGGAGTTATACTGGGGAAATTTTATGGTCTGTGTTATAAAGGAGGTCAGATATGAGCACAATGGTCCCTTCTGGCCTTGAAAGTTATAAACCTTTGAAAATCGGGCTCCTCCCTGCCTGCCTGGAAGGATCTCGTCAATTTCATTTTCAGACATCAAAAGCGAAATTGACAAGAGCTTTTCAGGCACCCTGCTGGGGAGCTGCAGTAGGCCTGTGGGGGAGGCAGGGAGGATGAGTGTGCCTCCTCCCTTGCCTCTCACGGACAAGTCAAGCTCATAGGATCTATAATTAAGTCTTAATTTATTAGCATTGAAATTATTCTGTTTGAATCACAATAATTTTAAAGGGAAAATTCAAATACCTCTTTTTTAAAGATTATTGTGATACATTGACATACATAATTATAAAATTCAGCACTTATATAGCACTTTAAAAAGGTAAAATACTGTATAAACATGAATTAACTCTCATAACATTGCTGTGAGCTAAGTATTATCATCCCTATTTTACCGAGGGGAAATCAGAGAAAATATTTATATCAAGTGATTTCCAGGACCAAACAGAGTCAGTGGCAGAGTGAGAATGGAAATATAGGAGGAGTTCCTGGCTCTGGTGCAGGTATCTCTTTCTAGTAGATCATGATGCTTTCTCATGTGGGTAGTGTTAGCAGTTAATCATTGTATTAGAGCCATCAAAGGGCAAAACAGTGGCTATTGTTTTTGATTGTGTAACTATAAATTACAACTCGCTCATTTCATATAACCTGCACTCAACTTCCTTCTACAATCTCTTTACATTTTAATTAATTTTATTTTTATATAAAAACTATTTATTTGCTTATTTCTGCAACTACTGCTCTTAATATGCAATAAGCAAACATTGTGTCTTCTAATCTTTGTTAGGTTTTAATAATTGGAGAAATGTTTTATCTACAAGATGTTTTTGTTTTACCAGTGTTTGTATTGGCTATGTTTAAACACAGTGTACTCAGTGTTTTTGCTAAAGTGTTTTTGTCTTTGCTATTTTGTTCATTGCTTTTTAGATTGTTATGTTTTATTTGCCATGTATTTACATAGACCAACTGCATACACAAAATACACCCTCTGTGTATGGAAATATTCGCACACATTCAGATACTCAGTGTTTTGCAGGCAGAATGTAGGGCATGAATTTTAAAGTATGTCCCTAAAAGTTAGTTTGGATCCATACAGCTTATAACCCATCTGAAACCATAAGTCTATTTGCAATATAATAGTTTCCACGGCAGCTAAACATATGTCATAAATTAAGGATTCCAACTACGAGAGCTGAATAAGAATTAGGTATGACAAAATATGCTAAAAGTTCTTGTTTTTAATAGAAGACTTCTTAACCAGGATCAAGGAGAGAAAACTACAGAAAGTCTGTGTGCTCATACAGAACCTAGGACACTAGATCCCAGATCCTGGTTAAAGTCACTGGGTGTAATTAATAATGATTATAATAATATATATATTATAAAGTCACTGGGTGTAATTAATAATGATTATAATAATATGTATATTATAAAGTTGCTTCCAAACAAAGTTTTCTTGAAGTTGAAAAGAGAAGGCAGCCACTGTTTGAAGAATCATTATGTAATAGTTTTGTAGACTCATCATCACACTCATATCTGATAAAAAATTTGACTGTAACATTTCATTGAAGTTGAAGTTCCTGGGTAGCAACTATACAAGGTTGGCAGCTGCCAAGAGCTGTGAGATTACTGACTAGAATAACATGTCTGGAGCCCTGCCTACAATTGAGACAAAATTTGATTCATATTCATGCACATATTTACAATATACCTCCAAAATGAAATAAGGATTTAATTCCATCAAGAGGTTCTAATGACATGATAATATGCCAGACTTAATTATATCAGCAGATGCTCAAAATCGAATCTAACAATTATTTTCTAATAAGCGTGCTCTTATCAGTCTATTGTCTTTCTAGAGCTACAGTCCTGGGAATCCTTGAGTCTTGTACCATCAGGCTATCCACCCCACCTGCATTGATTCAAGAATCGTAAGGTGGGAAACCGCAACTTCATCTACCCTCAGTTTCTTTCCACTACTTTAGAGTTCATTGGTAAATACTCCAGAGAAAGGGACAATGAGGGTTGGAAGTGTGTTTCTGCAGAAATTTGGAAACAATAGAAACTCAGTAGCAGAGAAAATCAGCAGAAGCTGGGACTGGTAGACTCTGATGACGTCATCAGTGCCTGACTGGTATTTACACCCTTTACTGTGGATGGTCTCTCTCCCCCCTTTGCTGTTTGCTCCTACTCTATCCTGCCCTCTCCATCACAGTCTCTGTACTTCAGCCTGGCTCCACCTGTCCTCCATGGGCCCCTGCTTCCCTTTCCCCTTTACTTCTCCCTTTCATGTCTTCCTTTTTTTAGCTAATCTGCTCCATACAAACAATTCCATACAAACAATTAAAAAAGAAAAAAACAACAAAAAGTGTAACTTACATAAGGCTCGCAGACCATCACTTTGTTCACTCTGCTTGTACGCTATACCCTTTCTCTCCAATCATTTGTCTGCCTTGTCTATTGAGACTGAAAACTCTTTGGGACATGGACTGTCTCTTATTGCATGCTTGTAAAGTGCCTAGCACAGTGGGGTCCCAATCTCAGTTGGTGTCTCTAGGTTCTACCACATACAAACTAATAAGTAAGGCTGCGAGTTTGTCATGGAGGTCATGGATTCTGTGACTTTCCGTGACCTCCATGATATCTGCAGTGGCCGGTGCGCCTGGCCCAGGAGCCGCCTGAGCAGCTCAGGCAGCCCCTGAGCCAGATGCACCAGCCGCTGCTGGGACAGTCTCGGGCCACCATCCCGCTCCCACCAGCAGCATCAGGAGTTTGGATGTGGGAGGAGGCTCAGGGATGGTTGGTGCATTGGCGGCGGGGAGGGCTCTGGGTGACGCTTACCTTGGGGGGGCTTCCTGGAAGTGATGACATCCTAGACGGAGCCATGGCCAGGGGGCTCTGCACGCTGCCTCCACCTGTAGGTACCACCCCTGAGCTCCCATTAACCATGGTTCCTGGCCAACAGGAGCTGCTTTGCCGGCACTCGGGGTGGAAGCAGCAAGCAGATCTGCATGGCCTCACCTCTGCCTAGGAGCTGAGGGAGGTTGATATCACTGCTTCCGGGGAGGTGCAGAGTTAGGTAAGGAACCTGCCAGCCCCTCACCCCTCCCCAGCACCAAGCCACGTGCTGCTGCCCGCCTCCCCTCATCCCTGCCTGAGCATCCCTGGCACCCCTGGGCTACTCCCCCAAAGATTTAGTCAGGAGTATATAGTACAAGTCATGGACAGGTCACGGGCCGTGAATTTTTGCTTACTGCCCATGACCTGTCCATGACTTTTGCTAAAAACCTCCGTGACTAAAACATAGCCTTACTAATAAGTAATACATTTGAAATAATGCAGTTACTAGAAATACACCAGTTTTTCTTCACTGGAATTTATCTACCGATCTCCTTTCTCTGGAGATCAACAAAGAGTAATAATCCCAGGAATAGGGCTGAGAAGGACTTAATTAAAAAGGATTGAAACACTGCTCTTTCTCCTGAGTATCAGAGGGTCTGTCAGGAGACTGAAGATGAGCCCTCACTGGAGCCACAAGAATCCCATGAGCGCTGTCCTCTCTGTTTCCTGTACAGGTAGACTTTGTTTTCCAACACCTTTAGCAGATGTCTAAGGTTTTCAAAATACTTGTGGTGTAATTGGAGTGAATATTATCATCAGGAGACATGACAGAGAGAAAGGATGTTTTGTAATCCTTCATGAAGCTAATTTAGGTCACAGCTGAGCCGATCCTTTTAAAATGTATTTGTGAATAATTATGCAATGAAAAATTGTCAACATTTATAACACGCTACTTGCAATGAGTTATTTGACCAGTTCTAGTCATCAGGCTCATCTAGGTCAGTACTATTTGAGTCTTGAGACAGATTATCCATATATTAGCCAGTGGTAATGAAAGCTGTGGAGGAGAAGGGGATGAATAGAACCCGTGCATTGCTTTGAAGGACATGGGTGAGGAACTCTTATACTCCCTTTCATAATTCTGAAATCCTTTTGGTATGCTTGCCAGCTCCCAATCTTTTGAAAAAGTATCAAATTTTCAAGAAAATAAGTATTGTGCCAAAATACATTATATCACTATGAATATACAGTAATACAAGAGCTGAAGGTACTTTTGTCATTTTGTTGGCCTAGTTCTGTGGTTTTCAACCATTTTTCATTTGTGGACCCCTAAAAAATTTCAAATGGAGTTGTGGATCTCTGAAAAACTTAGACATAGTCTGCAGACCCCAGGTTGGAAACCATTGGCCTGGTTTACATCAGATGGTGTAAATGTACTCTTACCATTGAGAAGCCAGTGTAGTAAACACATCAGTGGTTTCAGGTTCTTGGAACAGTTTCAGAAGTTCTGGGTCACAGGATAGGTGTGCAAGGATTCTTAGTTCAATATGGGAAAAATCTAGCAAATAAAACTCTCCATTAGTACCCTTGCAACTTTTCTATTATTATACTTTTTAACATCCTTTCCATATTTATTTCCATTGTTATATTTTTCAGTTACAGGGCAACAGAATTTTATAGAATTCATGTTTTTTCACAAAAGGTTATAATTTTGTGAAAAAACTCGAAACCAAAACAATATAAAACTTGAGAGCCTACAAGTTGAAGCAGGAAGGGACATACAAATGTTTAGCATATCTGGCATGTAAATACTTTGCGTTGCCAGCTACAACAGTGCCATGTGAACGCCTGTTCTCACTTTCAAGTGACATTGTAAATAAAAAGCGAGCAGCATTATCTCCCATAAATGTAAATAAACTTGTTTGTCTTAGCAACTGACTGAACAAGAAGTAGGACTGAGTGGACTTCTATGAGGTGAACAGAAAAATATCCAAAATATTAATAATAAATTTAAATTGGTATTCTACTATTAACAGTGCAATTAAAACTGCAATTAACCGTGACTATTTTTTTAATCTAGTTAATTTGCTTTGTAATAATTGCATGCATTAACTGTGATTGACAGCTCTAGTGAGAATTAAACTTGCCCAAGGCATGAAAACTTTCTGCATGAATGATTAAAGTTTGGCAAAATTATAGGTGCTTATGCTGAAAAGTATTAGGTAGCTTTACAGATAGATATTGCTACCAGCACTGCCTATAATACAGACTCTGCTTGTGAGGAATGGGCCACTCTTGAAGATAACTACACTTAACATCAATGCTTTTGCTTCACAAGGTCAATGAAGATGTAGTGGCATCCAAAAGAGGACTGGCAGCAGATATCACAGGACTTTTGTTAATAATATACAATCATAAGATAATTTCCATTATTATTGTTACCTGCTGCTAAGAACGTATATCCTTTAGCTGAAACAAACAATGTTCTTGGGGAAATAGTTACTATTTCATTTTCTTTTCCTAGACAGGAGATGGGAGAAACATATATTATATCACAGAAACAAAACAAAACAAAACAATAAAACTCTGTTGTAAAACAGGCAAGGTTGCTAAGCATCGGACCTACCTGACAGACCACCACAAATGCAAGGAATTGAAAAGTTAAGCCATCTAACAGCAATTATCCTGTACTCAACAAATAAATAATGAATTAATTTCCTACTGCAATCACAATTTCCTAGGAAATTATTTCCATGTGTACTGAGTCTTTACAGAAGAAAGACAGGACGACAAGTAAAAGTTAATGCATTACTGGAATCCTATTCTACTTGGTGTAGGAGAGGTAACAATGCTTGAAGCATAGTATATTTCCTCTACTACTGATTGTGACCAACTGATTGTAAAAGTTGCAAAGGAGGAAATGAGAAGGTCTGGAGAAGTTTGCAAAGGAAAGGAAAACCTGAAAAAATGTAGTTTTGCAAAGTACATATGAGTAGGGCTCCGTGTTTGTCACGGAAGTCGTGGAAGTTATGGATTCCGTGACTTCCTGCGACCTCCATGACTTCTGCAGCGGCCAGTGTGGCTGACCACAGGGCCACCCAAGCAACTGGCCCTGGAGCCAGCTGCTCAGGGCAGCCCTGCAGTCAGCCACACCAACTGGTGCGGCTGGCCTTGGGGACCACCTGAGCAGTGGTCCCAGGGGTGGCAGGAGCTGCTGCAGCTCGGAGCAGCAGCTGGCCCCCCAAAGCTCCCGCCCCAGCAGTGCCCCTCCCCCTAAGATTCATTCAGGAGTATTTATGGTATAAGTCATGGATAGGTCACGGGCCGCGATTTTTTGTTTCTTGCCCATGACCTGTCCATGACTTTTACTAAAAACACCCATGATTAAATCGTAGCCTTACATATGATCCATGAGTATCATTAATGAATTTTGCCAGGCTCAGTCTAGGTCTGCCTATGTGTTGTAGTACACATTGGGTAGCATGGATATGTATCCACAGTTTGTACACAGATGAAATAGATAAAAATAACAGGAGAAATTACAAACTGCCAGCTTTAGCAATTGAGTTTTTTCTCATCTCAGATAGACACTTATGTTAAGGTTTTTATTGTTATTCCAAACTCCGCTCCTCCTTTCACTTACACTTATATAAACCCTTTTGCTTCATTATATTGAACTGTGTCCTATTCCAAAGCCTCCTGTGCAAAGCCCACCACTACTCTTCCAAAAACCAAGAGCAACAAAGCAGCAGCAGCAGCTCTACACAGTGATCCTGTGCAGCTACCTGCAGGAAGAAAAGGTTATGTAAGCAAGTCTCTCTTACACTACAGTTCACTATTGTGGGTCCAGTCCTTCCTCTATCATTTGGGTCATGATTCCCTAGGACTTACAGCCCTCTCTCTACTATCTTCCTTGAATCCAGTTTATAGCATCCATCTGACTAGCAATCAAAGGATATTTTGGCCGTTAGCTGTTAGTTTGATTTATGGGGCCTACTCAGTCTAGCATTGGCACCTCCCTAGGAGAAGCTTTCTCAGGTGAAAGCATAGAAAAACTTCTTAGTAAAATAAGGCAGGATAATTTGGTTCCATTACAACAATGCAAGCTCAAAACTGTGGAAAAAGAACACAAACTGAAGGTAGGAGGACTGGCCGGGAGAGCAGAGAATATTTAAATTGATAAACTTGCTTGCATAAATCAAGGAAGAGGCAGCAAACCCACATTCTGTACTGGCAAGAAGCAGCAGAAAGATTAGTTTAAAAGATAATGTTATAACATTAACTACACAGTTAAAATGTAGTCTCTCACCATTTTTGAGATGTTGGTATGCTTTAATAGTACTTGATCACATATTTTTACTCAGACACTTAGATAAATGCATGTCATTTTATAAAACTACATAAACAAAAACTTTTGCCTTTACCTTTTACATATTGCTTCTTAATAATTTGAACTGGATGCTTGGATATACCTTGGATATTCTGTAAATAAAATAACAGGAAGTAAAAATTTACAGGAATTTAAAATGTTTTTTAAAAGTATAATTGAGGGAACATCAAAGATTAATTTGATTGATTATATAATGTTAACATATTTTGTTTGTTTTATATTAAACAATATTAGAACTATATTTTGACAATATACATATACTTAATTGTAAATTATATAAATGTAAAATTAAGCATTTTGAATTATATGACACAAAAACCCAATTAATGGAAATGATAATTATGTACAGCACACACTCACATTTAAGTCATGAAATGTACACTAAAATTTCAAGTATGGAATTGGGGTGTTAGAGAGTCTAGTGGGATTAAGTCGAGTAACTAAATTATCGTATCAACAGATGAGAAAGAGAAGCAAGCACAGCAAAACGATGAAAATTGAGCGTGGTCCGGAAAGCCATATTAAGTAGAAGAGAAGGCTATAAAGACTTACAGGATGGAGGATCGGGAAAGCCTAAAGCTTAAGAGAAGAGAAGGCATTATTATGATAAGAGAGATTTGAGGTAAGTTTTGGGTGGAGTGATTGCCATATATGCAGGTTACTCGTGTTGGCTTAAAAATCATTAAATTAGGGTAGGACGTTAAATCTGGACACAATACACAGAATTGTTATTTTGCTTATCTAAAAAATATGTTTTTAGTTAACCCAAGCAGCCATTCTGTGTACTGTAAAGACTTGGAGCCAATCTGTCAGTGCAGGACAGGATGCTTCAGGGCAACTGGTAATAGTGGGGGAAATGCATGGCTGGGCACACCTTACTGCTCCTTTAGAGGAACAATATTCATCCTAGCTGCAGATTACAGCTTACACACTGAAAGCCTGATCAAGCCCCCAAGCTAGCAGATCACTTCCCCCAGAGCTGTGATGTACCCAGGGCTGGCTCCAGGCACCAGCGAAGGAAGCAGGTGCTTGGGGCGTGTGGCGACGACACAGGAAAGGAAATAGAACACCAGGTTTGTGGTAGCCAGAGAGCTTTAAAAGCCTCAAGCAAAAAGCCTCCCAGGAAAACTTTCCTGGGGTTTTTATTTCTCTCCTTACTTTGTTTACAACTCTTCTTAGTGGTTACATTCCTGCGCATAGAAAAGCCAGGCAGTATACATGCACATAAGATAACGAACCCATCTCTTGAGCGCGTGAATGCCAGCTGCGAGGAAACAATCGAATCAGCCAAAAGGTTTTCCCACACACAAACACTGGATTGAAGGTCACGCCTGCCTCGTTGCCATGGGAGCAGTTTGCCGCACCCGTGGACTGGCGATTCGGGAGCTATGCGTCCCTACAGGGGCGGCCAATGGAAAGGGGCAGCACGTCCGGGTCTTCGGTGGCAATTCAGCGGCAGGTCCCTTAGTCCCTCTCTTCCTCTTTGAGCTGCCGCCAAAGTGCCACCGAAGAGGAAGAGAGGGAATGAAGGACCTGCCGCCGAAGAATGAAGTGACGCAATTGAGCTGCCACCGATCGGCTTTATCTTTTTTATTTTATTTTTTGCTTCGCCGCTTGGGGCGGCAAAAAAGCTGGAGCCAGCCCTGGATGCACCAGCCAGGGCAGTAAGCCAGAATCCTAACCTAAATCTACAGCAAAATCCCTCTCTGCTGATGCACTGATGGGAAGGGCCTGGGCAGGGCTTAAATTCAGCCGGATATGTCCAGAGCAGAGCTCCGGTAAATATTTCCAAACCCTCAGGAGCCCCAGCATGCCCCGCGAGGCTGAAGCCCCGAACCCTGGCGCCTCCTGTGGGGCTGAAGCCCCGTGCTCTGTGGCTCTAGGAAATACTCAATGAGAATTGAAGCCCTGGGAAAATTAAGGGTTCTGAACACTCTTCTCCTCTACTAGCACACCTTTGCAACACAGAACAAAGTTTTGCCCTATATTTAGCATTTTATTTGCTATTCCACATTTTTCTTCACCCTTTTCTTTGGAACCATCACCTGTTAAAAGCAGATAGGCATACATTGCTGTCAATTTTTCTGTGACTGAACAAGAAAGACACCTGTGGATCTTTGCCCTTCTTTACTATAATACTTCTAGTGTACTGTGAAACTTTGAACAATGAGAATGGATTTCTGGTTGAATCATGCTTTATGTAAGGATAGGATTCAAGTAAAAAATCTAAGATTTTCCAAAGATATAAGATGTTCTAAAGCAGCTTTTGGGAATAAAACTGAATTCTACAGGAATTGTTTATCCTTGAAGGATTCTTACATGCTGATCTTGATTTGTGGATGCACCACCAAACATAATAATTCAGACAAAAAAGCTTTTTAAAAAATTTAATCTGTTTTATCTCAAATATTATTTTCAGATACTGTAGCATCATAAGCTTATGCTACCTACTACAGTTACATTTTTAAATTTATAATAAATTATGGAAGAGGTTGTTTATTAAGTACAGCAAATCTACAAGTATAAAAACTGAGAACCGTCTAGGCTTATCAGTAAAGAAGACAATGCAGGGCTAGGTGTCAAAGGGATAATAATTTAACCATCCCTTTTAGAGACCTGGGTTCACAGCTTGTAAGAGTTACCAATAAAAGGTATGACTGCAACCAGTAAGGACTATCAGTGAAGTGTGAAACATGACATCCATGATAACTTCCTCCTGTTATTTTGTGACACTATTCCCCATCACCTGGACAGGTAGCATCTGACAATACATGACATGTAACATTTAGCATATGATAATGTGTGTCAACTCCAATTGTTATCAGTTCATATAATACATCTGTACATAACTCAGTGGTTAGATGAATGTGCCAAAGTTATATGTTTGAGGATGCAAGAATGTTGGGAGCAGCGATGTACAATTTCAAAATAAGAAAAGTCACCCCCTATGCAGTTTTGAACTCAGAACCATTTTTTTAAAACTAAAAGGTATGCAATCAAACTGAAAAGTAAATTAAGTTAAAATTTTAGCAATCCATGTATACTTGATTGAAATAAAATAGAATAAAGTAAAAATGATTTCCCCCAGTACCACTATGAGGGTATTGACAATTAAATGTGTACAAGATGGACCTCTGCCTAAACAACACACATAAATATATAGTGCATTACTAAATGAAGTCCAATATTTTTTCACATTAAAGGAAAACTAAGAGCATTTTTCTCAACCCACTAATGTGCAGACTGGCAAGGAAAGAAACACTTATTACCATGAATAAAAGCTTGAAATTTATTTTTGTTTTTTAATTCTTTACTTGAAAGTAGCAGTTCTAAACATTTGTGTCAATTCTGATGTAAAATAATGTGGTTTGTGATGTGAGGGACAAATTTTCAAAATGATACCTACTTAAATTGTGTGCATATAATCCACATTTATGTGCACAAAACAAGTACAGTAAATGGGTGTCTATGTACTTGTTAATATGAATAAAGTGGACAATCTAAGTGGATGGGCGAGCTGCTAGATTTTCACCATTTTTGAAAATCAGATCATGATTCAAATGCCTAGGTATAGATTTACGAGCCTAACTTTACCCATTTTTGAAAAATTTGGCCTAAAAGTTTTTCTTCTGACAATTTAATATTGATGGAATATTATTTTATATTCTTTTCCATTCGGCTTTCACAAGGCTAGTGACACTGCTCAACAAGATGTGTGTTTCCAGCTCTACATTAAGAAATGCCACTTGTAAATAAAAACTTTAAAAACAATAACTTTCAGTTATTCCTGTTGATTGGACAGCCTGAACTTGTGAATTTCCAAATTCTTGCACAAAGTGAAATTGATACAGATTTCCTTTAAACATTACTTTACCAAGGTAAAAGAATACCGTATTACATTCCTATTCTCACTGAAAACCAAATGCAAGTACAGTGTCCATCATGCTAATCTTAGAGTGTTTTCAGAAGTTTTACTAATGCCTCTTAAAATTCCATTCATGTAATCCCAAGGCAAGAAACATTTATACTGCATCTATTTTCTCATGTAAAATAGTCAGCAAATTACAATTTAAATAACTCTTCGGAAGAGAATTAATTTGGAGAATATGTGCAAGCTAATGCTGATTTTTAAGAGCATTTAGAGATTTAAGAGGGTAGAGAAACAAAGACAGGGAACTTAAAAGAAGCCTCCACATAAAAATCTTCTCGGTACTTGTGTCTGACAGTAAAATGTGCTTCAGATGATTCAGTGTCCTTCTCAAGGAGGCAGGTACCTGGAGTCCTATGCCACAACAAAATTTAGAACTGACCTGCCCAGGGAGACATCCAAAGCAGCCTTCCCTTCCAGAGGCCAGCCACGCCCCCCCGAGCCCAGCTGCAGTCCTCCCACCTCCCCAACCCAGACACTCACAGACTCCTACCCTTCTAGATCCCAGGGATCCAGAGAGAGAAACAGCCTGATGCTGGGTCCTGGGCTTGCACAGACTTTCCTGCGTGCTGCCATCTCCTTCCTTCAGGGCCTGTTGTCCAAAACACCTGGACTCACTGGCTACGAATCATGGAATCATAGGACTGGAAGGGACCTCAAGAGGTCATCTAGTCCAGTTCCCTGCACTCATGGCAGGACTAAGTATTATCTAGACCATTCCTGACAGGTGTTTGTCTAACCTGTTCTTAAAAACCTCCAATGATGGAGATGTCACAACCTCCCTAGGCAATTTATTCCAGTGTTCAACCACCCTGACAGTTAGGAAGTTTTTCCTAATGTCCAATCTAAACCTCCCTTGCTGCAATTTAAGCCCATTTCTTCTTGTCCTATCCTCAGAGGTTAAGAACAATAATTTTTCTCCTTGAAACAAACTTTTACATATTTAAAAACTGTTACCATGTCCCCTCTCAGTCTTCTCTTTTCCAGACTATACAAACCCAGTTTTTTTTCAATCTTCCCTCATAGGTCATGTTTTCTAGACCTTTAATAATTTTTGTTGCTCTCTTCTGGACTCTCTCCAGTTTGTCCACGTCCTTCCTGAAATGTGGCACCCAGAACTGGACACAATACTCCAATTGAGGCCTAATCAGCACAGAGTAGAAC